TAAATAATCTCCAACTGCAACTGGCGGTGGATGAACGCATCTCGATTCTAGCTACAGGCCTAAGAAAACCCCGCGCTAAACCCAAAAGCCCCAACGACGGTAGAATATCCCATTGGTCTCACACACTTCCAGAGTCTCGGGAACAACTAACCTAAGACACCACACCTTGGAAAAAATGCAAAAATATGTACAGATACATGCAGCCCGTGCATGTGCATTTCCCAGTATAGAAGCCCGTTACATTCCGGGTCTTTTCGAAGGTTTCTTGACCGACAGAGTCAGAGTCACAGGCCTTGGGTTGTAAGCGTCATGTCCTTGGTATTTAGCATAAAGACCCAATAATTCCCTCAGTAAATAAACAAAGCACAAGACCACGGACCGCGTAAGGCTGGAGCTTATTCCGCGGTCAGGCACCATTGACTGACCCCTGGATATCACTTTCATCGTCATGTTCTCCATCAAAAGGACACAGTCAACAAAGCCTTTTAATGCCTCTCTATAATCCATCGTATACGATTAGACGAATCGGCATATTCTTCCGTCCGAGCATTTGTAACAGTCATACAGCATAGCCTGTCTGTCAACGTTGGCCGCTCTGTAACACATCACATGCATGTACTCTGCTCTTTAGTCCAGTAAATCCATCGCTCAAGGACTCCGGCTCTGATAGAACGAGCTACCACCTCTCTTCATCCATCACACCGACTGACTCCCTTCTTCCACGATCTCCCCAGTCTCCAATCATAGAACTCCTCGTACTTGGTGCTTTCGCTCCGCAGCCTCGAGGTTTCCACAACAGATGCCAAGGTGAAAGCAGCTTCCAGAAATCAAGATAGACAGAAAAGAAAAGAGGGGCTGTATCTGCTCTTGCGTTGCTCTGTGGTCTCTGTACCATTGCATAGGTAAAGAGATGTATCGTATCTGAACGCGTAACGAGGCACAAAATTCCTCGTGTTCACATGGGTGGAAAGTTCCGCTGCGAGGCAACGTGAGGAGGGTCATTTATGCTTTGTTCATCTGTGTAATTTACACTTCATCGTCCACGCCATCATACAGCTGTAACTCCAGCTGCTCATTGCTCATCCGAACCTCTAGCATGCTGATGCTTCCAACTCTAGGTCATTAGCTTCATAATCTTTTTTCTTTACTCGGCGCCGTTGACATCCATTTCGCGGATCTTCCATTCGCCGTCAACCCAGGACTGCTTCTCTCCAAGGAAAGCGACTCTGTCTTCGCCCTTGGCCAGTCCGTCAACGAGGTAACGCTGTGCCACCTCGCGCACTTGGTCCTTAGTAACGTCAAGAAGCTGCTCACGCTTCTTCTGCTTCATCTCCTCAGTAATACCGGAGAGGAATCGACTCATACCCTCCTGGTTCACAGACTTGGGGGCATCAACTCCTTGGAACACAGAGATCTTGGCCTCCTCGAGGTCACGGTCTGACCACTTCTTGTCAACAGCCCATTTACCAGCACCGCGCATGATGCTCAGTGTGTTTTGAGGGTTGGGGTCACGGTAAGAGTAGAAACCGAAAAGACCATCAAGAGGTCGAGAGTAAGCACCTCCACCATATGCGCCACCCTTTTCACGGATTTCATGATGCAGGTGCTTATGTGTAAGGAGCTGTGACAGGATCTGGAGAGGTGCACCCTCCGCCGCCGTGTATGATGTAGTAGGTAGTGACAAACCACCGTAGTAGACTTGGTAAGGCAGAGGATAAAAGGTCTTGCTATCCTTGGGAAGCTGTCGGGGAGAGGGGTTCTTAAGGTCGAGAGGATCACGAGAGAGGCTGCCCACAAACTTCTGCAGAGAAGCACCGTTCTCCGCAACACTCTCTGGACCACAGGTAATTGCGGTACGCAGGTTTCCACCAGCAAGTGCAATGCTCTGAATCTGCTTCAGCTTAGAGATAACATCTTCAAGCTTGTCTGTCTCAGGTCGGCTAGCCAAAGAAGTCACCAGCTGCACCTGAGAGAGGCCGGAAACTTGCTGTCTAAGCCATGAAGAGCGGGTAAGACCAGACTCGGCACTGCCCATCGCGAATCGATGACCAGTGGATGCAATATCGTTCACAACACCGTCAGCGGATGCCTGAAGCAGCTGTCGAATTCTGAGAGCTGCCTCAGGGCTGTCGAAATCGGTTCCCAAAACGAGCTTCTGGATGATATCAAACATGACAGGAACGTTGCGATCTAGGGCCATACCGGTGAAGATGAGACCCTCACTAGCAGCGTGGAAATCGGTGGGAGATGGTGTGCAGTGGTAACCAACGGAAACACCACCAGTCTTGAGCTTAATCAAGTCTTCAAGCTGCTCCATGTTCAAGTCCTTGGTACCAAGACGCATGATGCTGTCTGTGAACAAGGGGACCAGCTCGCGAAGCTCATCTGACAAGTTCTCCAACGTGTTGATAGCACGGAAGTAAGTCAAGCCGTTTGTAGGAGCCTCATGCCACTGGATCTTGGTACCGTTGGCGTTTTCGTCTCGCACAACCACAGGCTCCTTGCTTCGGGGAATGTCCTTGACGTGGACAGTGGGCAGACAGCCAAGATCCTCAGTGTTGGTCTTGTTTTGCTCAACCAGCAAATCCTGCTCTTGTTTCTCGAAATGCTTTCGGGCGTTCTCTTCACTGCCGGCCTCCTTGATCGCTGCCTGGATTCTGATAGAAAGTCGCTCCTGTTCCTCCTTGACAAGATCCTCACTGTAGGTGGTTGAAGGGGCCATGGTGAATGTCAAAGTGTTATCGTTAAGCAAATACTTGTCAATGAGACCCTCCAGGTAGTTTCCCTCAGCCATCTTAGCTTGGAAACCATTGATGGTGTCATTCCAAGCCAATGAGTCAAAGGGGTCAACACCATTGAACCACTTGGGCTTGAGTCGGTTCAACATAGAGAATCCAAAGTTGGCAGTCTTATGCTTGAGTGATAACTCCAGCTGGTGGAGGGACCCGTCGATCTTGGTCTTGTCAAAACCCTTCTCTCGGACTTCCCTCAAGATCTGCTGAACCTTCTCCTTGAGCTTAGTTACATCACCCTCCTGAACACCAGTGAGACCGATGGAGAAAATTCCCTTCTTGGCGGAGCTATCATATCCAGCGTTGGGGCTCCAATCAGCGCCCATGCCAGCTTCAACGAGACCTCGGTACAGGGGAGAACCATAACCATCCATCAAGAGAGTCGAGAGGAGGGCCAGAGAGAAAGACTCCAGAACATCTGTGGTGTCACCCATGATCCATGACACAGAGGTCTTATACTGACGATCAGGATCGACAAGAGGATCAAGTGGTCCGTACAGAGTAACTTCCTTGGGGCCGTTCAGTGTAACGGGTTCGTGAATCTGCTTGTCACCCTGGATCTTCTCGAAAGCCTGGAGCTGAGCATCGACTTGCTGCAAGTGGTCGATCAGGGGCATATCACCATAAGTGAAGACCTTGGCGTTGCTGGGGTGGTAGTGTTCCGCGTGGAACTTTCGCAGTTGCTCGTATGTCAGGTCTGTGATCTTCTGAGGGTCGCCACCGGAGTTGTTGATGTCTGGGAAGATATGATCGTGGAATCGAATGTAGTAAAGATATCCAGCATCCGACATCTGGCCCTTCATCTCATTGTAGACGACGCCCTTGAATACCAACTTCTTGCTGGCCTCATCCTCAGCAAGGGGGTTCTCGGGACCAATTCGCCAACCCTCCTGGGTAAAGTCGGACTTCTTGAGGAGCGGGTGCAATGTCGAGTCAAGGTACACGGACATGAGGTTCTTGAAGTCCTGCGCGTTGGTCGTCGCGAAGGGGTAGAAAGTATGGTCCGATGCCGTGAACGCGTTCATGAAGTTCGATAGTGTTCGAGGAAGCATCTTGAAGAAAGGGTCGCGAATGGGATATCTATAGACAGTCAGCATTCCCTGCTTCTATGTCTATCTCAAGGCAAGTCGTACTTTTCGCTACCGCATAGTGTCGTGTGCTCTAGAATGTGAGGAATACCAGTATCATCCGGAGGGTTCGTCTTGAAGCCGATAGAGAAGACATTGTTGCTGTCGTCGCGGGCGATGTGCAGATAATCGGCTCCTGTCTTGTCATGCTGCAGGTGAAGAGCCGTTAACTCAAGCTCAGGAACATGCTTGGATCGAACAAGGGTGAAGCCATGAAGCTTCTCGCCGGGCTTAGGAAATTGTGAAAGCTCCGTGACGGCCTTTCGAGCGCCGGCAGCGGCGTTACGAAGCATTGTAGCAGAGATTTATGACAAACAATAAGAGAATTAATAATACAATAAGATCAAAGAAATAGTGTACAATCGCGGATATGCAAAACTATATGAAAAGGTTAAAGTTGTCGTTAAACAGTCACCGGAGATTTTGATGCATGTAATGACGCCGGAACGATTCGCCCCGAAAAGGTCTGCTTTGTAACCCCAGCAGTATCTAATGGAATGGCCGGGTTCAAGCCCACGTCAGTGCCAAGGATATGCCGTAATTGTGGGTGGCCAGTGGACACTACTCAGTGAGAGGCCACTGTGGGATAGCGCCAAAGGCCTCTAAAGCCGCATTAGTGTCAATTGAAGCACTAACTGAGCGACCCGAGATGTCCACCAGATTCTGTTAGCAACTTAGCAATTACCAACATAGTCACCACAAAGGTCCATGGCAAAACCTATCCTCCATGAGCCCTCCATCTTGTCACACGTTAGCGACTGTATTATTCTATGTCCAACGAACCCTGACTCCACGCTGTCTCCTTCCAGAATTCATAAAGGTCGTACTGTTGTCGTTACTCAGCGTTGGTGTCGATTGCTATCATCATACGGACAAAGCCAATCGAGGTACGAAGATATTCCCTCCTCAAACACTCAACGTGCCTCTGCGCTGCGAGTGCATGGCTGGCGACAATTCTTGCGTGAACCCGACTAACAGCATCTTCTCGCATCTCAGCCGATACCGAATAGTGTTTTGAGTATCATTCTCTCGTTATCACAACTTCAACCCCTCACCTGGCGACGAACATCCCACCCACGATTGACGACGATACATCCCGCTTCGATGCCCCCGGCTTTTCCTGACCTCGTGACCCCCGCCTGAACGATTGCCGTCGCTACCTTGGCCCATCGTAGCTTCGTCGGCGATGCCTGCCAGCCAGGTGGATGCTCCTGTAGCCAACGGGCATGAGGGACACGCTCATTCACCTACCAAGAAAGGCAAAGGAAAGAAAGGAATGGATAACAACGAGGCATCGCGTCTGCTCCATGCGCGGATATCCCAGCTGGAGCAGGATGCTGCGGGAGATAAGGAGCAAGAGCTGGAGATTGGTGCGTCTCGCCCTCGTCGTCTGCAAGCGGCAGCCTCCCATCGATTCGGAACGATGATACTGATACGTGGATGGTACAGAACGTGAAGTGAAGAGAGCGAATCGGGATCTCCTCCAGCAGGTATCCAAGATGGACAACATGCAGAAAATCGACCACCTCACCAAGCGGTCTAGTGAACTCTTGGCTGATATGCGACGATTGGAGCGTGAAAATCAGAAGAACAAGCGCCGCGGGGACACTTTACAAAAGGAGAGAGATGCGAGCCGTACGGAGCTTAATAAGACGGTCGGCCTTAAAGAGAAGTTGGAAAAGTTATGTCGCGAGCTCCAGCGGGACAACAACAAGATGAAGGTTTGTGCGAGAGGACGGACCGAGAGGCGTTGGCTAACTTTGATCCGCAGAATGAGAATAAGGAGCTTCAGACGACACAGAAACGGAACAACGCTCACTGGGACGAAAAGTATGCTACACTCCTGACAAAACTCGATGGATATCAGGAAGAGAAAGATACTCCGAAGAAGCAAGTCGTAGATATGGAAGTCGACGAACTGTCAGTCCAACCATTCTTTTACACAGAACTCCGCTTACCTTTTGTTTACAGTTTCCGAATTCGCTTCAAATCATTCATTGAGCAATACGAGTTACGAGAACTGCATTTCCACTCGTTAATGCGCACCAAGGAACTCGAAGTACAGTACCATATGGCGCGATACGAACGGGAGAAGAAGAACGCAGAAGGGGAATCGACGAAGGCCCGGCATCTACAAGCGCAAGTTCAGGCGTTTACCAAAACAGAAACTGAGCTGAGGAATCAGCTTAATGTTTACGTTGATAAGTTTAAGCAGGTGGGTGGACTTGGATAAGATAGTTCGGCATGTTGACTAATGGCACAGCAGGTGGAGGATACCTTGAACAACAGTAACGACTTGTTCTTATCATTCCGCAAAGAGATGGAGGATATGTCGAAGAAGGGCAAGCGGTTAGAGAAGGAGAACGAAGCCCTGAAGCGACAGAAGGAGGCGACAGCTGCCAACATCATCCGCATGGCCGAAGAGCGCCAGGACTGGAAGAAGAAGACAGAAACCGCCGAGAAGAAGACCGAGAAGCTCATGAGCATCATCCAGCAAATGCAGCAACAAGGACGTAGGGTACCGCCTGGAATGTCCAACACCGTCGAAAGCGGTTACTCCGACAGTCACGGAGGAAACGAAGGAGACGAAAGCGACTATTCCGACGAGGAGGGCGAGGAAGAAGAACTTAGCGAGTTCGACGACGATACAGAGGAGGAACCACAAGGCAACGAGCAAGGAACGCCAGTGGCCTATGGCCCTGAACGTCCCCCTCAGCCGGTTCCTTCGGCGGCGACAAACGGGCACTAGGAGGCCACTCAGGAGGGGGCTCAAACTGGAGCCAGTGTCAAGAGGAGACTCCCCAGCTTTCATCTGAATATGTTTTTCCGCTGTGAACTTGATGGTCTTGGCTATCTTGTATCGGGCGCAGACCTGGGGAGTCGTAGCTTTTGGGGGCGTGATGATGGCTTCACGCGTACCGAAAGAGTAAGGATCTTGTGTAGTTGGCTACTGGTTGGGCTACTTGCTAGAGATGCTTTTTTGTTGCTGTTTGTTGTTGCTGCTTCGCTGTTGCGTGTAAGATGTATTGTCGTAGCTTGTGGATTATTCGAGCATTCATGCCTCGCTCTACTTGAATTGTCTTCTTTTGATGTGAGACATGTGTGAAGTGTGCAACAATTACACATGTAAATGATTCGCGCCACGGCAATTGAATCACTCAATTCATGACGTTCAAGAGTATGACATCTACTGCTGTATTACTGTAGGTAGTGTGCTCTTATGTCGTATTCTGTCGGATTACCACATCGGGATATCGGGGAATATCACCGCCGACATGTGTTAGGCCAGATCTACTCTATCCATCCATCCCACTTTGATAAGCCGCGCAACGGGGACGCATTAGGTAGCATAGCTTCGTTCTTACAACTACAACCCCAGGTTTCCGGTTCATCAACAGCACCGCAACCATGGATTTCCTTCAGGTAAGTTAATATCAACTATACCCTAAACACAATTGAATCCTCCAATTAGTTCAATGGATACTAACTTCAGCAGCGCCTCGCGCGCTTCCTCGATCGCCCGCTCTTCCCATGGAAGAAGCTCATCATGGGCTTCTCCGTAAGCCAATACCTCTTCGAATCGTTCCTCACTCTCCGTCAATACCGCGTCCTCCAGAAAACCAGTCCCCCCGCCGTCCTCTCCAAGGAAGTCTCCCAGGAAGTATTCGACAAGTCTCAAGCCTACGGTCGCGCCAAGGCAAAGTTTGAAATCATCAACGGTCTCTACTCTCAGGTTCAGAATCTCGCCTTCATGCACTTCGATGTCCTTCCTAAGCTGTGGTCCTGGACTGGTGATCTTCTTCTTAAATGGGCTCCTGCGCGCTTCACTGGAGAGATCAGCCATACTATCGTCTTTGTCTTGACTTTCGCCGTTATTAGCCAGCTTCTTCGTCTTCCTTCTTCGATTTATCAGACTTTCGTCCTTGAGGAGAAGTTCGGTTTCAACAAGCAGACGCCCAAGCTCTTCGTCACCGATCTCATCAAGACCCAGGCTCTCACCTTCGTTCTCGCGCCTCCTTTCCTCGCTGGTTTCCTCAAGATCATCCAGAAGACTGGTAACCAGTTCTTCTACTACCTGTGGCTCTTCGTCATTGCTCTCCAGGTCTTCATGATCACCATCTACCCCGTTGCTATCCTGCCCCTGTTCAACAAACTGTCTCCTCTCGAGGATGGTGAGCTCAAGACAAAGGTTGAAGCTCTCGCTGCTAGCCTCAAGTTCCCTCTCCACGAGCTCTATGTCATTGATGGAAGCAAGCGAAGCGCCCACTCCAACGCCTATTTCTTTGGTCTCCCCTGGAAGAAGCACATCGTCATCTACGATACTCTCATTGAGAAGAGCGAGCCTGATGAGGTTGTTGCTGTTCTTGCTCACGAATTGGGTCACTGGAAGCTTGGTCACACGACCAGCCTGTTCGGTATCTCTCAGGTAAGTGCATGAATTCTCGTCAATTTATTACTAAAGCTAACTCAAATCCAGGCTCACACTTTCTACATCTTCCTCCTCTTCTCTGTTTTCATCAACAACCACTCTCTGTACTCCTCGTTCGGTTTCCTCAAGCAGCACCCCATCATCATTGGTTTCATTCTCTTCTCTGATGCTCTTGCTCCTATGGATCTTGTCATCAACCTGCTTATGCACATCGTCAGCCGCAAGTTCGAGTTCCAGGCCGATGCCTTCGCTAAGCAGCTTGGTTACCCCGAGCAGCTTGCCCGCTCTCTCCTCAAGCTCCAGATCCAGAACCTTAGCACCATGGACGCCGATTGGATTTATGCCAGCTACCACTTCTCTCACCCCCATCTGTCTGAGCGTCTCAAGGCCCTTGGCTGGAAGGGCTCCGAAGGCGTTACTGAGGGTGTCACTGATAAGTCCATTGACAACGAGAAGGACGGTGTTGTCAAGGCCAGTGGACGTGATGAGCTGTAAATGCAGCAAGGAATTATCTATTTAGATTACATCTAAACAGGGGCTCCTTAGTCTCCTTGGGAGCGTGTTTTAGAGATAGGAAAATGGCTGGTATGAGTTGGTCATCTAGAAAGGATTTGGCCACCCTTAAGACACGTATAGATCCAGACTCAACTGTACAATACAAGTGATTTTTTTTAAATCTTATCTATTCATGGCATTGCTACCGATATGCTCTTGATGATCCCAGAGTCTACCTGTGCGCCATCTACACTTTACTTATTTTGTTCATCTAATCATCAGACTCGTCCGAATCGTAGGATCCTTCTGAACCTTCCAATCCTTCATCTTCTTCAGAAGACTCTTCCTCTTCACCTTCTTCAGGCTTCAGGCCGTAGTCATCGTGGAAGTAGCTAAGCTCGTGAGTCTGGACCTTGTAGCCCATGCCCTTGAAAGCTGTCTCCATACCCTGGGATTTGTTAGTAATGGTCAGAATGAGTAGGAGGGAAACAAACCTCTTGCATGATCTTGGCAGCAGTGACAACAATATTGCTCTTGCCAGGCTCAAAGCATGGCAGGACAGTCTCAAGAAGAGCAGTCTTGATCTCATCCTCGGTAACGGCTCGCACACGTCGCAGAACCTCCTTGCCCCAATCCTTGGGCAGACCACGGACAACACCCTGGACAAAGTTCTGCTGGGCGGCGCTAGGCATAGTAGATTGTTCATCGGCGAACATAACGACGATTTGGCTGATGGTGCCCTCGAGCAAGTGACGATCGATCTCAACTTCACCGTTGGCGATCTTGCCGATGGCCTCCTTGGAGGCCTTAATAGCCTTATAAGCATCAGGCGAGCGGTAGACATGGTATGAGATGATACCAGAGTTGATATCCCGAGAGAAGTAGACGCCGTAAGCATACCCAGCACCTCGAACAGCGTTCCATAGAGGACCCTCAGCAGCTTCGAGATATCCAATGGCGACCATAATAGACGCGAGACGAGGGTCGTCGAAGGAGGCTAAGCCTTGGGCGGTTGAGACTGAGTAGGAGCTCTCCAGAGTAGTCATGGGCACAATGATAGCGCCAACTGATCCAGGGTTGCGACCTTCATCGTTGAGCAGACTCACAGGCTTAGGAATCTCAACCATGTTCTCAGCAACAGTCAGAGACTTAGAGAGCGTGTCCCAAGTAGTCAAGGGGTCCGGAAGAGTTTCGAGATTGGCTGTGACAAGGAAACGGAGGTTCTGGAAAGTGAAAAGCGAGTCTCGAACAGTATTGAACCAACCAACAACCTTCTCGGGTTCCTTCTCGAGAAGCTTCTTGAGTCTCTTGAGATACACCGCGCGAACAAGCACACGCTTAGCGACAGCCAGAGAGGACTTTTCCATATGGATAGCAGCGTTGACCTCGCTGGCCATAGATTTGCCATCACGCTTTGACTCAGGGATGTCAGCCAAGGCCTTGGTAACGCTGGCTTTGAGTCGCTGGGGATCGAAGATTGAGTCGAACATCATGGTGCGAATCCACTCAACAGCTGCAGCATACTTCTCAGGCTCAACCTGGAACTGGATCATTATTCCATCGGGATCGCTGATGTAGCGAGCGGAGTGAAGGGAGTAGCTGATAGTGTCTCGCTCAAGTTCCATGACAACCTGCTCAAAGCCAACTTGCTTTCCATCACGCATGATGTGTGTGTTGAAAAAGTTGTCGCTGAAGATTGGCATCAGGGGCTTGAGCTCATTGGGAACTTGAGAAGTGCCAATGTGGATAGTGATGTGAACAAAGTTGGTAGGAACATCCTCAAATTGGATGAAAAGAGGAAGCTTGCCTTGAGTTGTGCCATCAATGAGTTTCTGTGCGGAACCACTACCCAGGCCAACTGCACGAGCATGCCCTGAGCGAGCAGTATCAGACTCGATGAAGTGGATAGAATCCGTGCTGGGAACACTCCAGCGATCGACAACAGAGGCGGGAATGGGCTCATCATTCTTCTTCTTGGCATCTTCGAGACGCTTGGCAAGCTTCTCCAGGCCTTCAGCACCCAAATCCTCCTTGCGCTTGGCAATTCGAGCTTCTTCATCCTTCTTCATCTTGATAGCCAATTCATGGGAAGGCTTACCAAGGATCGAGATGTGAGGAGCGTCAGCCATCCATTTGCTGAGGAAGTCTCGCCACTGCTGATCTGTCCACTTCTCCAAAACATCATACTCTTCCAAGTCCTTCAGATCTTTGAGAGTTGAGCCATCTCGCTTGCCAAAGAGATAGTCGGTGATAATATTTGTAGCGTAGAAAGACTCAGATGTCTCAGCATGGTACTTGACTTGACGCTTCTCACGGCGAATGCATTCTCTCATGTAGTCCATGTCAATAGGCTTCGAGGCAACTTCCTTGAGGAGCTCAAACAGTCGCTTCTCGACAAATTCAAGCTTCTCAGTAGCAACGCCTGTGGGTTGCAGCCAAATGACCATGTTAGGTCGAGGGTCGGTCCAGTAAGAGACTGAACTGGCGAGCTCCTCCTTTTCGACCATGACATTCTCAAGAATGGAGACAGAAGAACCACAGAGGTATGTAAGAAGCACATTAAGAGCGGACGATTGGATAAGATCGTTGCAGTTAGGTCCGAAGAAACCAACGAGGACCTCTCCAACGGATTCGTCTTCCTCTGGGAACTCAACGGTCACAATCTGTGTCTCATTGATCTTTGGGGGCTGGGCGGAGTCAATCCAAGGCCTGTAACTGGTCAGCAAAGCACAATTCTGCATTATTGTGCAACTTACCTCTTGAAGGGGGTATCAAGGGAGGGAATGTCATCCTTGATAGACTCTTCAAAGTCTTCGAGGATCTGTAGAAGCTCATCTTGGTTGACCTCACCAACAAGAACCAAGCAAAGGTTTCGG